TCCCCTCGCGGAAGATAAACACCGCATTATTAGTTTTATGACTCTGGAAAATTTATGAAAACTGAATCTCCACGTGTAAAGTCCCGTGCTGAACGTCATTAAACGGAACGGCGGAATGGAGCGTAACAACTATCGACACAAACGTAATACCGTGCCCTACATATCCAGCGAAGAATAATTAATTGGCACACGCTACTTGGCAGTGAGGAGTACGAGACGTGTTACCGAGGTGGAGCCGAAAAACAGATGTGTACTCTCTTAAGGTGAGTCGGTAAAAATCTGACTGAATCAGTGAAAGGAGTATTTCACCAACAAGTGAGTAACTGGTTTTCAGTAGAAACACTCCCACTTTACTGTCCAATCTATTTGCAGTACTAATTACAGTACTATATAACTAAGTCATCAGTTATAAGTATAGCATTTCGATGAAGAAATAGATTGAAGTACAATGAAGAAGTACATTGACTTTAGAAAGTACTATGTGTGTCTAATATCATTCGAAAAGATATAATTTCATCCTTAGCGAAATCCCTTGAATCTTAGAGGATCTTAATCTTATACATGACCTACAAAGGATTCTTTTAAAACTCAAGGGGAAATATTTTAAGCACAATTTTTAAAGTCAATTAACTCTTTAACTAACTCAATATTAAGTTTTTAACTAACTCATAATCCCAATTAGACACTTTCACCCTTAAAGTATTAGGAATAGTTAAGCTAAAAGAATTTTTAAAAAGTTTTATTAAGTAAAGTCAATAAAATCAATATTCTTGAAGTTAGAGGAACTTTTTATGTACGGTTACAAATCTTGCTTGTCGTCTCTTTCATATTGCGCGTGAGAAGACATTCTACTTCAAGTAAACTCTTGATTTAAAAAAAAAGAAAGTTAGAATAATATCTGATATATTTGCGATCAATAGTCCGCATCAGAAGAGGAATACTCTTTCGGGCAGAGTTTTCACGTGAAATATGAGATTACAGGAAATGGCACCTGGCAGCTAGAGCTTCTTTTTGGTGAGGAAAGAGGGTGATACATTGCATACGCGAAGATAGCACGATAGGAGTGAACGACAGCGCGACGCGCTGATATGTCCGTAATTAAAACCGCTGTCGAAAACATCGAGGTGAACGTAAACGGGACGCGTGGCAACCAGCATCGTGTATCTCCTTTCCACTCGGGGAATAACAACATTTAATTACAAACGTATTCCAGGACCGACGCCCTAGTTGCAATCAACGTCGCTGGCATCTTCAGTGCGGCTGTGTGTGCGAGTGACTCTAACCGGCCGCAGTTATCGGGCTACATTGATATCGACAGAGACGAGAAATGGCTTTCCACAGATAATTATTACAATAGCAAAGCGCACGGCATTGGGCAGCTGCGACACCACGCTCAGGATGAATGAGTTCTCCCTTCCTCGCCATTAATACCGTATACACAGAATTTCTCTCTCTCTCTCTCTCTCTCTCTCTCTCTCTCTCTCTCTCTCTTCTCCTCCCCTTCTCTCTCTCTCTCTTCTGTCTGATTGTACACAGTTGCGAGTGTTTTTCCAGAGTGCAAATTATTATAGAGTTTATTCATTATATATTATAAATTTATTTCTTATATATTATAGAGAGAGCTTATTTCAGTACAAATTCCGAGTCAAAATTTTGATCTTACTTTCAGCCTTACCATTTCATTATCGTCTATTGTGATATTCTAAAACCTGTAATATAATGTTGACGCTATTTTGACGTTAAAGAAAGTGAAAAGGAAAATTTCAGATATCATTAGAGTCAAAGTATAGGAATAAATTATATTATTAGAACTAAACCTACTTTACTAATTTAGCTTCTACTGCGTTGTAGAATTTAAGGTTTAATATAGAGCCAAAATTTCGACTCGGGATATCAATAAATGGAGGAGTACCTCATGTTATATGAAACAAAATATGTTATATGAAACAAAAACAAAAAATATTGTAAATAAAAAATGTTCTTTTTAATTTCTTATCTAATACAAAATACTTCTCATTTTTCATTGACATTTGCACTTCTACTCTATTAAAAGCACTTGCAATTATATACAGACAAATAAAAAGACAGTGCAAAATTAGAAGCTGCATCATATCGGTATCCAACGTCTTTTTAGCAGGTTGAATAGTAGGTCTCTTTTTCGAATTCTGCTATGTAAAAGAAATTTCACGACGAATACGACGACTCTTATATAACTCGATAGAAACGCGCAGCAATTATTGATTTTCCATTTTCCTTGACTTTCAACTGAAAGTTTCCGCTAAATTAATTAACATACATCCGTGTCTCAGTGCTGCAGGATTATTTAGGATTACCCGACTTTTCACTGAATATAAATGATTAATTAGGTGATACGACTAATGATCAAAGTAATAATTGCGTACAGTGGTCTCTTTTCACTTCTTTTTATTATGTTTTATGTAAAATTATGTATAAGCTACTTGTTCTAACACTAATTAATTTAATTACTTCCTCCCGAGCGCAGTGCATTTATTTCAACGACTTCTCCGAGACTCCATTTCTCGCTGCTCTCAAGATAAATAATTCACACACATATATACACATTTCACGCTTCTCGCTCGTGCTTCAATGAAACGTTTCAATGAGGAGCAAATCCGTCTACGAGAGCGAAAGCAAGAAACGAATGGAGATGATCGCAAGTGACGACAATTGACCGTTCTAGAATGCGTGCACCGCTCTTGAACTTGTCAATCTGCCGTTGTTAAACGTTAACCTTGATGCGGCCCGCAAATTTTTTGCCCAGCCCAGTCGCTTTGCCAACGAATCTCGCCCTGAGAGACCCTCAGACCGTCATGGCACTGGTTTCCTTAAAATGTCATAAGTTTTGTGTAACTTTTGGTCGTACTCTCTTTCTCTACGTGATTGCCGAGCGGAATTTCGACTTCTCTAATCCGGTCAGGTTCAGGTAGAAACGTGCATGTGACTCTGTCGAGATCCGACTAGAATGCCAGACGAGAACCTCGCAAAACAAAGGATAGGAAAAGACCCCGATTCGTACGTTAGAAACTCTTTGTGTCGAGACAGCGATATCTACACAATTATCTTTTGCAAGCATGTGGATGCATGTTGCACGACACGGGAAAAATGGTTTCACCAGTGTGACTGAATTTTCCTGCTGAAAACATGGAGAGCAGATGAAGAACTCGTTTATAAGAGCAAGAGGTTTTCGCTCAGTCAATTGTTCCCATTTGTAGCACACGAGTTTTGCTGAATGTTCAGACGAATGTTTTCGGTTGTGGTAATAGAGATGTCACTTCACGTCGCCGAATTTTCATCTGGTCCCTATTCAGTCGTACGAATTTAGATTTCTTTTTCCCGTGTAGTGAAAGTGAAAGTTCTCAATGGCGCGACGATCTTTTCCGAAAGCTCACGCGTTTGTATGCAGTTGGACTTGTCCATATTCTTCACTGGATATTGTGCGCGAAATAAGCTGTTGCCCTCTCTCTTTGGAAAAATATAATTTCAGCGGATAATAATTTATAACACACGAGACTCTCCGCTGTTCCCTCTTTCATTTCTCTGATTTTATTGTATCAAGTATATACTTTTATATTTATGTTTTCTCTCCTTCGCGCGCCTAACATATCACTTTTGATTGAGAGGAAAAGAATCCGTGTGCCCTCTCCGTGAGATTTATTATCGTGCCACCCACACTTAGGACTCTTAGAGCTGACTCACGCCGGATACGGTCCGTGGAAAAAAAAAGAAAACGTTTTGGTCGTCGATCTCCGGCTTACCTGGGTCCCCGACGCATGATGCATCATGGCCCAGGCATTCGGTTTAAAATTATCGCGCGACACACGACGTGTATTCTTCCCGATTGTCGTCTGTCCTTGCCGTCTTATCGTGCAATCTACAAAGTTTTTGAAGAATGATCGCGCGGATGAGCAAATACGTCGATGTACGTCATAAATGCGTTCGAGTCGCAATAATCTCGCGTAATCAGCCTTTCGACTGATTTCTCTGAAAGACCAAGATAAAAGACGTATAATTAATGTGCCAGAGCTATATGCACGCATTACGAGCAATTAGTACTTCGAATTGAAACATTTTCAATCGAGTCGTCTAACCCTGCTTCCACCCTCTCACTCTCTCTTCTCTCAAATGAGAGAAAATTGCTAGCCTTTCATATCAGATATGAAATTAAAAGCTTTTAACATGATCAATGTAGCTTGAGATATGTACTATTTGAAAGTAATTTTTCACCTTTCGTGAAAAATCCTTCGCACTCGCTTCTCTCGTCATACTTCGAGGAAATCTCTTCTTTGAGAATGACATGAAATTAACAACCGGCAATAAAACAGGCAACATATATTGCGGAATTTGTCGAAGAATCTGCCGGTTAGAAACGCACGCTTTTATCGAAAGACAAACACATCTGCGAAAATAAGTGACTATCTGAAACGTAACGTTCGTTCGCAATTGAGTCGGAATTTAGGAAGTAATCGAGAATATCCTTGAGATAAGTCGCCGAACTTTAAGGAACGTACATATATTGAATTGAAATTATAAAAATTATTAAAAATATTAAATATTAAAAAATTATATGAATATTAAAAAATTATATGAATTGAATTATATGAATATTAAAAAATTATATGAATTAAAATATAAAAAAATATATTGTCTCAGACTCTTCTCCGCAATTTTTATGAAAACATAGAACGGACTGAGATGGATTAAAAAAGATTTGTGCATCACCGCGTCCAATCATGTAACAATTTTCTTTTATTAATAACTAAAAATCGTAGTTATTTGCAAAATGACAAAGGGCTGTTTTGTTCAATTTGACCTAACATACAAGCACACAATACTGTTACAGCTTATTTTTCCATATTGCGCATGATCATACACAAATCTTTTTTAATTAATATCTCGAGTATTATTGCAAATATTGCAAAACAGTATAGGATTTTTATGTTTATCTCAATTCGTTCTACATTCCCACAAAAATTGCGAAGGAAAGTCTTGAAACACCTTCTATATATACATATATATATATATACAATAGAGAGTCTGTAAGTTTCCTATAAACTCCTAAACTCTGGATAATCTGAACCAAATTTTGCATAGTTATTCTCTAGAATTCAGCGAAAAAACCGGCTACATGAAACCTGGACTCCTCCCCCTGATTTCATCTCTATTGACTTGGTGATAACCCGAATAACGCCTGGTAGTTTAAGCTAGTTATATATATGAATTGGCATTTATTGTAAATTCCTCCAATGATTTCTACGACAGATGGATTCACCGGATCGCGAGATTTACCGCGATCCCGACGTGGTCAGAGCCGACGACAGGGTGGACGAGGTGGTGCACACGGACACCGCAAGGAAGATGCTGTCTATCTTCCGACAGATGGAGGAGAACGCGTCCAAGGAAGATTTGCCAGATGGGCCGAAGCCCTTGAAACGCTTCACACCGCCTCCCGAGGACAAGTTTGCCAAGGCGACCGCCTCGGACTCGGAAGAGGACGAAGAAGAAGAGGGCGAAGAATCCGAAGGTGACGACAGCGCTGAGGAGAAAGATCCCAACTACGTGCGTGCTTCTGATAAGGTGTGTTCGCTTATAGATTCAGACTCTCAGACCAAGTTAAAGTTAGGTCGACGATCATTGCTCCAACTATCGGGCCTCTGTGTCGGGCAAAAATGCTGTGATATCGGTAGAATTGCTTAACAACGCTACATTTGAAGTAAATATTCCTCACTCAACAGCAATATTATTGAAACTATTATGCCATACATTGTTTTAATAACTCGAATATTAATTTCGATCAGTAGTGGACGTTAATTGATGAAAATGTCCTTTGATTAAAATAATTAATTAATCAAAAATAATTAATTAATTAAGTCACATATGTAATCACGAATAATTTAATTTATTGATGAAATTAATTATCGTCAAATTGTTAAGTATCGTTAAAATTTGATTAATGATATTAATTTCATTAACTAATGAAATTATTTAGGATCTTACATACGACGAGATTAATTAACTTCGGTTGCCGACTTGCCGATTACTTTAGCAAAGGAAAATTTTCACCCAATACTGCTTTGGGTTTGATGCCCAGTATTGGTTTCAACAATATTGCTATTAAATTAAGAATGTTTACTCCAATTATGACGCTGTTGACGAATTCTATTGACACAACAGCAGTTTTTCCGTGTAAAATTCCTCATCTTCTTCCAAAATTCTTGCCCGTGGCTTCGTATATCATTTCTCATGGTCTAATTATAAATCAAAGTAGGATACGATATCCTGCGAAAGGCCGAGCCTAGATCGTGTTCCCGAGCAAAAATTGAATCTAGTTATTGTCTAGTAATGGCACAGAAAAGTTATATCTTATATCGCTACTAGCTAGGAATGTAACGCTCAATTCTCCTAATGGCTGTACTAGAAAAATTATCTAGTAGCTGAATACAAAAAAGTAACTTGTAACTATAATTGGTACAGTTACTGATATCCAATTTTTATTCAGGATTTACCGATGATTTTCTATCTCGTTACTGTGTAATCTTTTTCATCTAGCTATTATCTATGTAATTGGTATAGTCACTAGATAGTTCTGACATTCAAAAGACTGAGTAGGAATATTTAGCCAGTCACGAGCTGGTGACTGGCTAGAAAACTTATCTAGTCATTATCTAGTCATTATTATCTAGCTACTAGTCTTGAAATCTGCTCTATTAGATACATTTTTACTCGGGTTATTCAGACTCGTCTACAGTAAGCATGACGTAAGTAAGAAATAAAAATAAGTGTTCCGCCTATATCTCTATGCTCTACATCCCTCACATCGGAAATATCTCTTTTTTAAGTGAAAGAAATATTTCCGGTGTAAGAGAGTATATGGGAAGGAAGAGGGACATAAACGAAATAAATTATTTCTATTTCTTATTCCAACTTACGTCAAGCTTACTCTACGTGTTGTAGACAAGCCTTTAAAGCCAATCTACAATAGCCATAAAGGCTTTCGCACATATATTACTGTAGACGTAAGGCGTAAGCTTTAAACTAAAGAACCAGTCGGGATATTGCTTTAGGACTCTTCTAGCTAGAAGAAGATTGACATGACCGTATAAATAAGATTCAGATTAATAAGTATTTCAACTAGATGAATCTTGGTTACTTTTGCATACAATCAACAGTTCTATCTTCTTCTAGAGTGCACAAAGCTGTAGCAAAATTCTGTTTAGTTTTTCAACTGAAGTTTATATTTTTTTCCTGCTAATTCTGATAGATATTCCATCAAGCTTTCAGCCTTTCTGAAGATACTTATAGCTATGCAACTTGTGATTTCTTTTCTTCAACTCTTTTGCAAAATAAAGTCCTCTTTATCCCTGGATTTGTTACATTCGTTTATCTATCTCTTCTCCAGAAATTGATAAATTAGCTTAACCATCTTTCCTAATTTCTATTTCGAATTATTTTGTCTACATCCAAAATCATTTTCTTCTTTGTTTATTCTATTTTTCTAAACAAATTTCTTTTCTTCATCATACTTCCCACATCTAAAGAGTAAATGATTAATATCTTTCTTCTTTGCTCCGCAGTCACATCTCATCATATCTATAATTTCCTTTCTATCTAGAGACTCGTTTAAATCATAATAGTTTGCTTTTATCCTATTTACAATTGTACTAAAACCTTTTGTATCATTTCTTCTTTTAAACCATGATTCTTTATTGTTAAAAAAATTTTTTTTTATTTTTTCCTTTTCTACTAGCTCTTCCTGATATTTTATTCCGTAAATTTACTTCTATTTTCCTTGCTTTATATATATATATATATATATATCTTTCCTATATACCTCTCTTAAATCTATATATGATACCTTTAATTCTCTTGTGTATGTGCATTCTTCCTCTATTCTCACTTGAAGTTTACGTTTATAATTACGGCAATCTATGTGCGAAAGCCCTAAGGTCATGGAAGCGTGAGAAGTAAAACTTAAGCTGTAAACAAATTGACCAGTCGATGATTCTCTTTACGATCTAGAGTAACCGATTGCGATCGGTCAATTTTCGTACTACTTAATTCTTACTTCTTCCACGCCCTACGGCCGCAGTAGATGGACCTGTAGACAGCTTTCTGAAATCAGCACCAATAATCCGGTCTCGATAATTCGAAAAGTAGCCCCGTCTCTTCTTCATACTTCACCCCGACTGGGCGGCGTGCGTCCGTCCTATAATCTACAGCACTTTCTCTCCGTCTGTCCGCGGCTACGTTACAGGTGGAGGACGAGTTCCTGAAGCAGGCGCAGAACGCGGCGCGCGCCAAGACTCTGCGCGCCAAATTCGAGCATTGGGAGGAGACCGACGGCAAAGTCAGCAATCACCATATTGCCGAGATAGAGATGGCCCAAGGCACAGGCGAGCAATCCAGCATAGAGTCCGCGAGCAGTCTGCGAGCTCGCTTCGAGTCTCTCGGCTCGCAGACCAACGAATCCCCGCGCACGCCGAAGGTCAAAGTCAATCGATTTGTGGTGAGTACGCCGTCTCACTGAGCAATCGCGCACATTCTAGTCCACCCTCCGTCGCGAACTCGGCTCAACGTCGCTCCATCTCTCGTCTCCACACGCAATCACCATTCGTCATTCTTTCCTCGCATCTTCCGATCGCATCATTTCACGCACATTCACTCTCTAAAGTACAGTCAGCGTAGTCTTCACGCTACACTTATAACTGGTGATTCAGTTGGAAGTATAGCAGTCGGTAAAATCTCGCCGAAAAGATCAGTCGGTAATAGTTACTGTTCCAAACTATTCATGCAATTTGCAAATACAGACGGTATCATCACAAGCTAAGCGTAAGGAAGTCGTTAATTCCATCGTCGCAAACGCAAAAAAGTTGCATTGGGTACTCTCTTGAAGCGAATCAGCGAAAAAGTTTCTGATTAAGAAAGTGAAAGGAGCACTTCACCGACAATCAGTTAATTTTCAATGGGAAGACTCCCACTTTATCGCTTCATCTTATGTTTCACTGACTTTGACTAGTGGAGAAAAGATTTGCGCACTATTTGTACATTACAAATTATACGTTATACGTCGTGTCAAACCTAACTTTTCGCTACGTTTCTGACAATGGAATTACAGTTAGTTCCATGCAATTTGCGTCCAATAGCATTGTCTGTGTTAGTAAATTGCAACAATAATAGCAACAGTCGCTACTATCAATTGATTCTTTCAGCGAGATTTTATTGACTGCAATGCTATATTTATAACTGAATTACTAGTTATATGCATAGGATTTCAGTGAAGAATACACTGATTGTGTCTTAGAGAGTATAGCAAATTCGTGCCCTACAGATTTTGCAGTGAAATTTTGTCCCCACTGCTCAAAGTCAGTGAGATACAAGACTGAATAGTAAGTCAGAAGTGTTTCCTGAGAATTAGTGAATCACTAATTGTCAATGAAGTACTCTTTTTACTAATTCAGCCAGAAATGTTTTTACTGATTCCTTTTAAGAGAGCACTATATCAATATTTCATTTTGGGGTCCTCGATATCACCAATTTCGAGTGATTCGAATTTGGAAGATGTTGCGCTTTGATCCCATCGTGGTTTTGTTCTTTTCATTAATTTTCTTTGGCAAAATGTCTCTGTATGGCTCTGCCTGACTTATGCGCGCTATGCTAGTCAGGGAATTGAAAGAATCAGTGAACGCGTCACGTTCATGAATCTCTTTTGCGCTATGAACGGAACCCGGCATTATGAAGTATGCGCATGGTGTGATTTTCTGCCTGCTTACACGTTTTCAACTTACACGTTGAAATCATAAGTGTGTTTTATTTATCGAACCGGTGCTCGCATCGCGTTGATTGTGTGATCTCAGGACGTTCTTATAAGAGCGTCTCATTTGAATCGATTTATTTTCAGTATGTCGTATGACGTCTCTCGACGCGATTCGAGCATTGCTCTCACCCGAAAGCACGACTGATTTTTATTTATGTATACCGTTTTATTAACAAAGGTTCAGTTTTGCATTTTCTATCGACGATATGTTGGCTCAGTCAAGACGTGTGTTTCGACTCTTTGAACATTCAAATCTGATTTCATTGCATTCATACAAAAAAAAATTTGGTTAGATTGACCAAATGTCTGGTGAAATATGAACGAACCAAAAATTCCAGCTGGAGTTACTGGAATTCTGTTTAAATTAATAAAATTTCTAGCTGCCCAGAAGTTGCGATTATTAATCAGAAATCTTGTTAATTTGAATGGGATTTCACTCTCTTAAAGTGAATCAGAAACATTATTGAAACCAGTGAATATACTGATTTGCAGTTATAAATATAACAAACTGCTCAGTGCTATACTTATAACTGATATTCATTGATTCACTTTAAAAGAATAACGGCCGGATTTCTGGTTCGTTCATACTTCTCCAAACGTCCAACCTAGTTTTTCTCTCGGTGCAATTAAGAAAAATTTCTCTTTCAACTGAAGCAATTAAATAATTGAAATAAAGTCGTTTATCAATCAAGTGATCACCGTCTGTGATCCTTCGCTAACGTTCCAGCAGCATTCGTCATATACCTCCATCATAAAAAATGGCTGATTTAAAGATTGAAAATCAAGTCGAATCTTTTGACCGACCCAATATACATGTACTCTACGATGAAGACTATACGTTATTCACGATAATATACGTTAATTATCTGTAATATTCGCGAAGTTGTATCCGTTTGTGCTCGCTATTTTAATTTTTATATAGCTTGTGTTTTCATCGTACGAAAGTGCAGCCTTCTTTATTGTGTTTCATAATAATTTAATGTCACGATATTAATGTTAAGATTTTATATTATATATAGCTTGTAATATTGGCGAATATACTTTCATATAGCTGGCTGATATATAATTCCTAAGTTTGCAAGTTAATTTCAAGTGTCCGTAATCTCGCAAGAGGTAATCTCGCGCATTTACTCGCAGCTCACTCGACGGTGCAACGTGCTGGCGATGCAAAGTTAAACCGTTTTGTTGCTCGCATGAGACAAGAGCGCGCGCACACACACGCATATACACACGCATACACACACATACATACATCGCGTGAAGTCGCGCGAGCAATCCCACAACCGCAAGCGACGGAAACGAAGTGTTTGAATTAATTCAGCACGAAATTTACACGCTCGAACAAAAGAGATCACGCAAGATCAAGTGCCAGAAGCGCCAGCACCGACGGTGTGACCGCCGCTGTTTCGTTTCCTCGTTATTATCGAGCATGAGAGATATCAGTGTGATTTGATTTCTCAACTTGGTGTTGTCGTTCTGTCTTTTCATTTGGAACCCGAGTCTCCTGCCTGCGAGCCACTATCTGGCCGAATATCCTTCCCGCTTGCGCCGTTTGGTAACATATCGTAGAGAGAAAAGAGTAATCGCAAGCATCAGCAATCTCAAGTATTCTTCTCTCTTTTTGTGACGCGAAGCAGTAAAGGAGACCGAGGATATGCACCTGGATTAAATCGCATGCGAGGAGGAGAAGCAGGAGGGAGAGGAAGTGAAGGAGGGGAGAAGGTGAAGGAGGAGGAAGAGGAGGAGAATCGATGGAGGAAGAAAGCGTCGTTGGGACAACCGCGGTGGAAAACCAGTTTTCTTTCTTTTTCTTCACCCTCTTTCGTTTTCGTCAGTCTCGCGCGTTACGCAACGGCAATAACGTTCGGCCGTTCGTGGATCGTTCAGCGGCGATCTTACCGATTTTATTAGGATTGGTTTTTTTTTTAACCTTACGTTCGTAGAGCAAATCTCGTTTTAGAGCCACATATATAGGATGTATCATACGTCATGCGTTAAATAATGTATTACCGTATCACGTGATGGATCTGTCGAGCGTTTTGTCCGGCTACCGATCGGAAAGCAAGAGACACGTCGCGATGAGAGAAGACAACTCGAGACAGTGCGTTAACGTGACGGAAACGATAGCACGCGCTATGGAGAGAGAAGTCAGCGAATGAGAATCACTCATTGCTCCAGTACGAGACTCTAAGGAAGAGCACGCGAAATATTCAGCGTGTATATTTACTCGCAATCCCGATCGAGGCGTTCCCTGTCAATCCCGATATTTTCATAAGTCTCCAGGAGAGAGACAGGAGAGATTTTCGCTTTATCAGTAAAAAAAAGCCGCGCCCAAGTGCTTCTTTCCACTTGCAGAAACGCTCGACTTATCCTTACACATATATCAGAGAGCGAGCGAGAGACAGAGAGAGAGAGAGAGAGAGAGAGAGAGAGAGAGAGAGAGAGAGAAGTGTATTGTTCTACTAATTTACTTAATGTAAAAAACACGAGCGTCCATCCGCGTTGCGCGTCGTACGATGCCCTCGCTGGCTTGATCGTTACCGCAAGGATTCCTCCTTCGGGGTAATCATGCACGACGACGTGAGGCCTGTAAAACGCGCGGATGGAGCCGCTCCTGATCGATGAGACTCGTAACGGTGCGCACTCGATCTTCCATCGCTCGACGTCGACTAATCGAAAGAAACGTTCCTCGTGATTAAACGAAACTCTGTATGTAATCGCGTATACATAGCAATTATTTTTGTATTCAGATCCCTCGATCGAAAGAGAGAGAAAATGCGGCTGTAACGTTTCTACGAGGTGCCAAATTTTACGCGATCTTTCTCTAGCTGTGTGTTCATTTTTACTGAAAAAAAAAAAAAAGACAAAAGAAACAAACGTTCGCATCGTTACGATCTTCATCCGCGTGTACCGCTTTAGGTTTCTGATTTTCAAGTGTTAAGTGCCAAGTTTTTCGTCGAGAGATAAATGAGAAATTGGAGAAAGAGAGAGAGAGAGAGAGAGAGAGAGAGAGAGAGAGAGAGAGAGAGAGAGAGAGAGAGGGAGAGAGAAAGAGACAACGAGTGAGAGAGTACGAGGGCGAGAGAGAAAGCAAATGCGTGAGAGAGCCAAGTGAATGAGAGGAGTGAGAGACGGATGACGCTTCCCCAGATCGACTTTACGTGCGAGACAAGGGCCTGAACGAGGAATTATCGTCTGGTAGAGGAAATCACCGGGCACTAGGTGCTGCCCACAGTGAGACACCCACTAGCGCATAGGGACCGTAGCTATTTCGATCGCTTTTACAAATTTCGAATCTTTTTACAGCTTATAAACGCGGTAGCTCTATCACGTAGATTTTTATACCCGTCTGTCCGTTGACGACGGAGACCGGTTTCTTTCGCGACGCGAAAAGAACTGATCGAATTTTCCCCATGGAGACCTCGATACTCCCGTCGCGCCCGCTCTCGCGCGATCCGGTCGATCTAATTGTGCTCGAGAAAAATGATTATACTTTACACAATGACTACACATCCACACTCTCTTAAAGTAAATCAGTGAAACATTATCGAGAGCAATGAATATACACTGATCTGCAGCTATAAGTATAGCACGGAAGCTGCTCAATGTTATACTTATAATTGATATCAGTGATTACTCACAGATTCACTTTAAGATAGTACACACACACACACATATATATATATATACACTCGTTCAACATGTGGAACTGTGACGATTTCGTACTTTACGAAGTGCACGTTTAACAATCTTACTCGCACTAGATGTCTAAATACGATGTATTATCTCTCCGAACGAAGGAAGATACACACATACCCATTAAGGTGTTCTTTTCTCGTTTCGCGTCGTATGCCGTGACTTTTCCTAACCGCCGGATCGCGCGGGAGATCGAACCCGTCGCGATTTTTCGAGACGAGATTTTCGCTGTCGGCGCTATCGCGTACGAACGGTATCGTTGTACACGGATGTGTAAGGCCGGGGGTACGCAAATAAACGTCAGCAGATAAGGGCTCAAACAGACGAGCCACTTTTTCGCGCCACAGATCTATGCAGAAGGGCTTCAACTGTGGCGCCTTCAACTGTTACCAAGTAACTTCTCTCAGAAGCGCCTCTGCATGGCGCCACAAGGCCCTTAATGGCACGTCTATGCGCGACTAAGGGCCGATTTTTCCAACCACTTTATAAGCTAATTAAGTTATTGAATACTTGGTGAGCCAACAGTTGAATCATACATCTGTCTTTGTTTAATTTTAAGAAAAAGCAAAAATAAGCACATGATTTAATTGTTAGTTGGCGCACCAAGGGGTTGGGAAAGTCTGCTCTAAGTCGTGCTTCTCTGTGGTGCCATAAAATGACTTGACCGTCTGTTTAAGCCCTGAAAACTTAAGCAGTAAGCAAACTGACCGAGCACAATCGATGATTCTTCTCACGTCTCAAAGATAGTCGATGGCGATCTGTCAATTTTCCTACTGCTCAAGTCTTACTGCTTACGTTTTCCTGCGCGTACTGTCCGTTCAATAACGCCAATATCGCGATATACTTTGTATACTTCAGTGGGAAGAGAGCGCGCGAAGGTGCGCGTGCGACTTCAGGATGAGACGATCGAGGAAGTCTCGCGGAGGATCTTTTTAGAGGCGTTGATCGAATTTTTTAGACTTATATATACCGACGGACACTAGTGGAGAAGGAGGGAGAGATCGAGAATTATGTATATTGTCGACCGCGCGCGCTAGAAGTACTCTTTCCTTTCCTTTCTTTTTTTTCTTTCCTCCTCTTTTACCGTTCGTGCAATAATTAATAACGTATGACTCTCGGCGCGAGCGCGCGCCGAGTCGCGGCAAGACACGTCTCGAGTGAGAGACTCACGTTTCATCGAAGAAGAAAAGCTAAGCCTAAGCTAGTCTCGATAATATGCGCACAGAATCCGCTCTGTTAATCGGGTGATGACGGACCGATGGAGAGACAATCTCGCGTGACAATTTACAAGTCCTTGTTACGGCCTCTCGAAGTCTTCTGATTTGTATAGCATATAGCTAGCGATAATATCTCTCACTAGTTTATCTGAGATTTTACTGCGTCTTTTAACGTATCATTTTTATCGATGTATAACGATCTTGTTCTGTTCATCTCTTTCACGTGTAACATTTATTACGATAATATACAGAAATGGTCAATAAAAGAGATGCTAAATCTGTCTCCGTGACTTGAAGCCGGGGATGACTAGGGGGGAGAGGGAGGGAAACACGCGCGAGGGATCTCTCGATTCGAAAAGAAGGCGACACGCGCTATTCCTCATCATCATCATCTTCTTCTTCTTCGCATAACTTCTGAAACACTTCTTCATGCATCTCCCACATCATACCGGCAAAATCTACTCGGCCATCCGTTCGGCCATCCCGCAAAGACAAACTTTACTATAACTTGCCTTTTGTGACGCAACGATCGTACAGGAGATCCAGACTACCTGCGTGGACGTGTGCGAGAGCTGCGAGAAGAAGGTCTATCCCTTGGAGAAGGTCGAGACAAATAACAAAATTTTTCACAAGCAGTGCTTCCGGTGTCTCCAGTGCAATTGCGTTTTAAGGTAACGAAGGAAAACGTGGCGCGCTGTCGCGCATAATTGTTGTGTATTAAGGAAGCAAGTTAGTTTTTCAAGCTAAAAAAGCCAACAATATACAAGAATTTATTTAAAGAAAACTACACGAAATGTATATATAATCAAGTTTTATATGTGTTAAATAATATACTTATATTTAAATAAAAAATTTTACTTTTTATTTTTTACGCAAACATGATATCACAACATCCATTGCCGTTCCGAGTCTGCTGTCTCCTTGGTTTGCGCGATTTACATTGTACAAAAATTACATTTGTACAAGTTACATTTGTACAAAAATCCAATCAAAGAAATGAGAAAAATTCGCTATAAAATAGTGTTGCAGTTTTAGTTTCTCGGACCAGAATTTTTATTTTTATTTTTATTTTTATTTCTTATGCTTTTATAAAATAAAACATTAGCAAACTTTAACAATATATTTTAATATCTTCTTTGAAATGAGCCAAAAAATTTAATTGTTTGGAAATAAAAATGCCGGCCTGAGAGATTATAACTACAAAAAACACTATTTTATAATAAAACTTTTTTTATTTTTTTAATTCAACTATTGTACAAACATAAATCATGCAAATCAGAGACGCGTGCAAAAGCTGCAAGCTAGGAGCAGCAATGGATGCTGTGACATCATTTTTGCATAAAAAATAATTATAAATATTTTCGTTTAAATGTAAATATATTATTTAATTACGTATATATTTTCTATTTTTACATAAACATTTATAAGTGTATATATATATATATATATATATATATATATATATATATATATAAATTTGAACATATCTATTTAGTAGTATTTTTTAAACAAATTTCTAGATATGTTGCTTTTCTTGACTTGAAAAAGTAATTTTTCTCTTAAACATGATTGTATGTTTTGTCACTTTTTTGTAGAATCAAGTTTTATGGAATCATTAATAACTGCATCACGAATGAAAATGTTCAATAGCAAGTGTTAAGAATCGATGGCAAAACTATTGTTATAAATTAAAAGAAAAAATTAAAAGAAAAAAAAGAAAAATAAGATAAAAGGAAATCACATTGTTATTTGTTCACGCAGAATGGACTCCTTCACGCTGAATAACGGCAAGCTCTACTGCATTCCGCACTTCAAGCAACTTTTCATCACACGAGGCAACTACGACGAGGGCTTCGGCGTGGACCCGCATAAGAACAAATGGGCGACCACGAACTCCAACAACTCCACAAGCCCGTCGCCGATCGCGGTCTCGAACGGCGATCTCTGATTTTACAGGTCTCTCATCTTCCACCCCCGCCGCCTCCCATCCAGCCCCCCTCCCGTTCCTGTACACTTGATTTCAATACAGTTTGGGCACATTCTTCCTGGTGCAGCTTGGAATGCAGCCAACGATCCAATGAGAGAAATTGTTTTTGATTAATCCCAGAAGTTGAAGTTCTCTCATCAAACAATCTACTACGTTCCAAGTTGTATCAAGAAAAGATCAAGCATTGAAACCAAGCGCACGCATTGAATCTTGGTCGGACTCACGGACGGATCTAGGACAGAGAAGCTCAAGGATGACTGATTTTCCACTCGTCATCGTCACCCCGCGCAATTACGCGTGGTGGACATTGGTGTTCTCGCCGCGCGTTGGCGAGGTTCTTATCGTTTTCACGAGACGTAGAGATTCCCTTCGCGCGAGATCCGCCGCTAGATCCGTCTGTGGTCGGGACGCGATGATAATTATAATAGACTGTACATTTTTATTTTATTACATTAGACCCCGCGAGAGTACGCGTGATTGTATATTTAACCGTTAATTTGGAATCAAATGTGCGCGCGTCGGATCAGTCTCGGCCGACAGACCCGAGCGCGAAGGCTTTTCTCGTAGCATAATCTTGCCAGACATGCTGAATAAATGTTTGAGGAAAAGAAAAGGCACGCGCTGTCGTATCTTGTAATCGATATGTCGTTTGTGAATCGAGAGAGAGAGAGAGAGAGAGAGAGAAAGAGAGTATGCGAGTGCATTTTAATTAAAATTCCGTGTCGACGAAGCAACGAAAGTAACATTTTTTTAACGAATTCCTTTTGTTCCACCGACTGGCGCAAATGATCGCACATTCGAAGTGCGTGGTAGTGTATCAGACGTACCTGTTCGAATGTTCGTGAGTCGTCAGCGAGAAAACGATCCTGGAGCAAATTAATTGATCCGACGTAATAGTAACATGTTTCTAAGTTCTCTTATTTTTACTTTTAAATATATTGCTGTCATCGCGCTTACTACGAAACTCACTTGATATTTGTTACTATTATTATATTATATTAATTTTATTATTATTATTATTATTATTATTATTATATTATTTTACGTGCACCGCATTTGGTATTATTTTATTATTATTATTATTATTATATATATGTTGTATAATACAATATTTCATTACGCTTTTCATGAATCTCATATCCGACCCTATACTATATATATCGGGAGATATATATATATATATATATATATATATATATATATATATATATATATATATATACACTCCCGATAAACAAGAATTTTCTATGCCTTCGCAAATTTACATTTCCGTGAGATGCGCGCGCGTGTGCATCAATTAACTCGAAAAAAATTATTACTGTCAAATAAGTGTAATGTAACATTTGTAATGGAATCTTTATTAATTCAACTGACAGTAAAATTAGAATAATTATAGCCACACTAAGAAAAAGATACTCGAAAATTTATTTGTGTATGAAGTTTATTCATAGAAAAAAACTTTATTTCACAGGAATAAATTTTATTTCACGGAAATAAACTTTATGTCCTACAAAAGAATTTTTTAATATTTTTTCAAAGTGTGCAGTTAAGCACACTGAGAGAAAAGAAAATCTTGAAATTCCGACATTTGTCGTTTTGAACATTAGCAGAGCAAGGATTAGTTATGTCTTTGAGTAACATTAGGAACAAAATACTTGAAAATTCATTTGTGAGATATAAAGCTTATTTATAGAAATAAAACTTATTTGACGGAAATCAAGTTTATATCCCATAAATTAATTTCTATGTATTTTTCTCAGTGTACATGACTAATTTTCCATACGAGCAAGAGAAAAAGAGAGAAAGAAAATCCGAAAATAAAAGGTCCTTCACCAAGCACACACTTCCAAGGACGTTCCTTGGAAGATCTGTGTTGTCTTATCATCTGTCACTAACTCGTATTATTTGGAAGTAAAACCTGAAGCGTGCACTGAGGAAAAAATATTACGAGAAAATTTCTTTATGGAAAAATATGACATTTATTCACAAAAATAAACTTTATATCCTACAAATAAATTTTCAAGTTTTGTTCCTCTGTGTGTATCGCTTGAGGAGCAAAGGTTTGTCAGACCCGTCGTTGAATTGTATTACGACCTCAAGTTATCGGAAGAAACGCTAGCGGCTCGTAGCGGATATCTGGAAACTACCACCATATATATATATACGATAACTCGTATATACCTAATAAAGTCCAGTCATGAAACATAAGGGCCTTTGCACGTAGAAAAATGTTAACCGTAACCGTAAGCTCATAAGAAAACTGACCAATCAGAATTGATTATTCTCCTTGCGTTCGAGGAATAATCGACTGTGATTGGTCAGTTTTCTTACAACCTTATGGTTACGGTTAAAATTTTTCTATGTGCAAAGACCTTAACATCGAACTAAAACAACTGTCGATATCGAGATTAATCGAATTCGAAAATATCGAAATATCAATCGATCTCGAAAATAAGAATCGAGTCTCGAACCATCGTTTATCGCCCGTCTCCTTACAGCTATGGCCATTCTCCGACGGCTGCAATCTCTCGTAGGTCCGAAATATTCTGCCGTATAAACGTGACTGAATCTTGAAGCGCACATATATACTATATAACATTATCATCAACGAGACGTACGATAAATTGCATAACGCTGAGCGTGATAAACATATTGGATCGCTAAAGCGTCGTATTTTACGTCTCTGACGACGCAAGCTACACAAGTGATTACACAAGTTTATACTACCATCGATCTATCCACACCTGAAACCGGCAAATCGCAGCGATTAATCGAACAAGGTAAGTCATCGAATGGCAATCCACTATTCTTTTTAACGAGTTACAAAAATAATTTTGTTTATAATGAAATGTTTTGTTTATAATGAAATTTTGTTGCCCTCCTTTCCTTCAGTCGATAATTTCTCCAAACTTATTGGGTGCTGGATAATCAGCGTGCTGCAGTCCCTTTTCACACGTGCAGTAACGTGCAAAAGTATGTGTGTAAGAAAGTTTGAAGTCTAAATGAAATCGTGCAATACCCTCGTATCAAAATACGCGTCATTTCTCTTAAACAGTGGCGTAACCAGAGAGGGGGGAGGGAGCTGAGGGGGCTGCAGCCCCCCCGAAATTAATTTTCTGGATTACGCTAAGTGTGAGAAAGGCCCACTAACGAAAAAGAAAGTTCCACTAACGTCTTCAGACGTCAATTAAACTTTAACCTAATGAATTTTTAAGTATTTTTTGCTAAATGTAATTCGAAGACATAAGTAATCCGTTTTAATGCTTAAAACAACAGATGGAATTTTATAAAGATTTTCTTTTTGCTCAATGTTTGATTGCACACTTTGAAAAAAATACTTGAAAATCTATTTGTGGAATATAAAGTTTATTTTTATGAAATAAAATTGATCCCTGTGAATAATCTTTATATCACACAAATAAATTTTCGAGTATCTTTTGAATCTGAGTTTAAACGCCAATAAGACTTCATTGATGTTGATGAAACCAGACAACAGCTTTTAACTCTTTATACATAATTATGTATATTCACTTTGATTTCTGCCCTAATATTTTATATTAACATAGTAACGATAACATAATATCGATATTCGATATAATACTATCGATCCATCCTAGATATAGAGCTATATTTTTCGTCTTAACCGTGACGTCTGCATTTGAAGCCGTGAAATTGTGATTTTCCCGTTGAAGAACTTGTTGTGAACAAAGGAAAATCACTGACGGTCGAAATTGTGTAAAGTTCGAACACGACACGACTTCGTCAGGAGCGTCTCTTAAAACTATTTTATGAAGAAAAGAATATACTCGAATGGGATGCCTTAAAACCTTAACAAGTTAAAGAAGAGAATATAATCTAAGTTTTAATAAAAAAATAAAAATCTAAAAACTTATTTGTCCATATGTGTATGATATTTTATACTTTTAGTAGTATAATAACTTTAATTATCACATTAGACTTTGGAACAGCGTTTTTGCTGATCCTTCGTAATTTATGCGCATTTGTTTACTTTTTTAAACAGTAATCACCTATATCGTTCGCGCAAAATAAAATTGTTACTATTATTATTTCTTTACTTGTCACAATACGGTGAGCTGAACAACGTTTTAACTCTTTGATAACTATGCAAAAAATTTTCTGTTACAAAGTTTTACATCTCTCATAATGCCTCTCCAGAAATCGGTACATTTGTCTTAATTGTCACTGATCAACTAGCCATGAACGACAGATTAAGAAGAATCTTTCTCGAATCAGGTTGAATCGTTAATTAATCCCGAGACTCGCGTGTAATACTCGCGTATGTGTTTGTCTTGTTATTAAAGAGCGGCTCACTTTGCAGATGGAGATCTGCATCGACTCGTTGGAGTCCGCGAGAAACGCAATCTTAGGAGGAGCTATACGACTAGAGGTTTGCTCGGCCCTCTCGGAAGGTGGCCTAACGCCGAGCCTAGGTCTGATCCAGCAGATAAAGAACTTCTCGAGGATCCCGATTCGCGCCATGATACGCATTCGCAAGGGTAACTTCGTCTACAGCCGCGAAGAGGTCGAGGCTATGCTGTACGACCTGAGGATCCTCAAGGATCACCAGGTGGACGGATTCGTGTTCGGCGCGCTGACTCCCGACGGCCACGTCGACCATAACGTATGCTGGGAGATCATTTCCGCCGCTCGTCCCTTGCCAGTTACGTTCCATCGTGCCTTCGACGAGACAGTCGACCCGTTGAAATCGATGGAATCGATTATCAGCCTTGGCTTCGACAGGATCCTAACGTCGGGCCAGATGGACACCGCTCTGGAGGGACTGGAGCTGCTGAGCCATCTGGTGCAGAAGGCCGCCGGCAGGATAATAATCATGCCCGGAGCGGGAATCACGATGGACAATATATTTAGGATCAAACTGTGCGGTGCTCAAGAGTTTCACGCGTCGGCGAGGAACAAGATGTACGTTGGTCCGAGCAGATTTAACAAGGATGGCTTCGTCGACGTGACCGATCGAATGCTGGTGAAGGCGTTGGTCGACGTCGTTAACGACAGAACGCCTGGCGAAGGATAATTTATAGTGTCTCAGGAACAGATCATACGCGCTCTAACGTAATAAAATTATTAATCCTTTAAGGCGCATAGTTCATGGAACATTCTAGTAACTTTTTTTAATGAAATATTGTCAAAGACACTCTAAATAGCGCATTTATAAGGTTTCAATTGCCCGATCCTAAGTGGTCCCTGTTGATATCAGTGATACTTAAAGGATTAATACAAATCACGACGTCTGAATATGAATGGACAATGTTTATTCGAGTGATAGCGCGTTGTCTTTTTTATTAAAATAAATACAATACTTTTCTATTAATATTCTCTCTCTTTCTCTCCCTCCCTCTCTTACGATCATGTTATTTTATTCGTCAAGGTTAATGACTTGATAACAATATGCTCTTAATGAGTTTTATCAAGTATAGACAATTCGTTAATTTTAATCGTCAAGTCGTGAGTTCCCAGCAATTGTCGAATACATTACGAAAGGTCATAATGAGTCCGCCCCTAATCTCTCGCGTAGCAAAAAAACGAACCTTGAACCTTCTACTCTTCAAAATCGCTTTTCTCGTAGTTCCACATTTAGACTTCGTTTCTTCTTTTTTAATGTTCAATCTCAATATCAGTATTTTAGAAAATACTTCATAATATGAGTATTATCGTTCGTACATTATCATCTTATATAAATATATCGATAAGCTTATCTGCATCTGTCCGATTATTCTCCTTTTATATTGGCACTGTAATATCAGTGGCATTCGCACAATGGAAGAGCAGGAGGTGAACAAGATCGAGTGCATGGAATTATTGGAAGTCTCATCCGAGAAAGTAATTACTTTTTTCCTATACTTATCCCTAGTTTTCTCGATAATTTAATTCAAAGTTTCGCCAAAATGCGTAATGCCGCAATTGATAAATGAAATTTTTTAACGCAACGATATCCATTAATAATTTTAGAATGGGGCGAAAATTATATTCGCCACTGACGACTTTTTCGGTGTGGCTGAAAATCTGCTCAAGGTAAGTACCATCAATCAATCATAGATCTTATTTGTAAAGATGACAATCAATTATCTATATCGCACGTATATTCACGTTGAACGTGCTATTTAGTTTGCGTAGTATTTTAACTTCACTCTCTGAATAGCATCTGCTTTAATTTATAAAAACATAAACATGTAGATTTAAATTTAAAAATATGAAAATGTAAATTATATCAAGTTTCAATACACACATATTACAATTACATAAGAGGGATCGAGGTAAGTTGACATCTATATCATACGTGAATAGTTTAATCGCTAACACGTTGAACGCGCATATGAACCCTCAACATACATATTTATCAGATCAAAAAATTCACTAGTGATTTCGTTTGTATAATTTACAGACATGATATACATAACATATGATATGACATAATATAGTATCATATGAGATAAAAAATATATGTGATGTAATATGTGTGTCAAGCTGTCAAAATAATAGATTAGTCGAATATAGTCGACTGGATGGATTAATCATAATGTATATACATATCCAGAGACCACGAAAAACGACTGGAAATCATTTGTGAAATGAAATCTTAATCTGGACGGCTAATAAAACGAAGACTTTATTGTATGTGAAGCTTGTTATGTATAATTCATGTATAGCGGAAATCCCAAGGCCTAGTTGGTTACCGAGATAAGTTGACAGAACCAATTATTTCTAGTATCTTCTAACAAGTTACAGAATTAAGCAAATAAGATGTCAAAAATGAAATTCTTGCCTGCTTAATTCTGAAATCTATCAAAGACAGCAACAGAAATAATTGATTTTGTCAACTTACCTCGATCCCCCTTATGTAATTGTAATATGTGTGTATTGAAACTTGATATAATTTACATTTTCATGTTTTTATAAATTTAAATCTACATGTTTATGTTTTTATAAATTAAAGCAGATGCTATTCAGAGAGTGAAGTTAAAATACTACGCAAATTAAATAGCACGTTCAACAACTCAACTATTGTTTTATGTTAGGAGGAGGAACCTGTGTGGAAGGAGGGCGAGTACACAAGTTTCGGCAAGTGGATGGACGGATGGGAGACTCGGAGGAAACGAAAAGCAGGAAACGATTACGTAATTATCGCGTTAGCAGCCGAGACGCAGGTATCACACGTTTGCGTAGACACCTGTTTCTTCACCGGCAATTTTCCACCCAAGTTCTCTGTACGCGGTGACAAGTTGTCGGCAGGTTCGCGAGAGACAATTCTCGTCATTGTTCTTCGTTCAAATGGGAAACATTCCGCATATTGATTCGCTAATACTGACGTTTCAGAGGCGTGGTGTCAGAACCGGGACGGTAAACTAGGCGGCGAAGCGTGCGAGGATGATTACGAACGCGTCTCTTCTCTTCACTCGGAGGTAACTCAAAAAATTTAGCAAAATTTTATTCCCATGTGATTTTCATCTGATAATAATAAAACAACAATATCAACCATTGTTATCTTCTTTCTTTGTTTTGCTTTACTATAAAATGATCGATCAACAATCGTCGCACGTCATTTTAGAACTGGCCAGTCCTGATTCCGACGCAGAAACTGGAGGCCGGTTACCCATATACACGTAAGAAATTCTTCAAGGTATCTGCGAGCAGAATGTTTACTCATTTGCGGCTTGACATCTTCCCGGACGGCGGTGTCGCCAGGTTACGCGTTTACGGAGTGACGAAACATGTAATAAAATCGATTGCTAAAGTAGACGCAAGTAGCGACGCTTTCGCCGCGGACACGATATCATCAGAGATCGATCTGGTCTCCAGAATAAACGACGGCGGCTGCGTGGACTACAGTAATGCTCATTATGGGCATCCTAATAACGTAATAAAATCCGGGAAAGCGACGAGCATGGCCGACGGATGGGAAACCGCAAGACATTACGACAGATCCCTCACTGTTGAAGTTACGGATGCAGATCTGCAGGTATGTGCAAAAGCATAAGCTACTACGCGGAAAGAATTTTATAGTAGGAATTCGAAATTTATGGAAATTTTGTAGGGAAATTTTTCAGAAAGATATTTTGAAGAAAAGATATTAGAAGATAAGGAAAGAAGAAGGAGATATAGGAAAAGACTAGGAGATTTAGAAGATATTTTGGAAAAAAATATCGAGTTTTGTAACCGAATAGATTGACATTCTGCAGTAATTAATTACTCTTTCATTTCGTATATATGCTATTTACATTTCAAAAATTAAGATGTGTTATTAAAACATTTTTAATTTAAACAAATTAATAAAAAATTAAAAATTTTTTAATAATATTTATTTGAGCGCAACATGTATTTTTGTGTGTATGTGCAGTTTAACTTGAATTTAAACTCTGTTCTCGTATCAAACACGTTATTAAGATAGAGTTTGAACTTAAATCTACGTTAAAACTATTTATTAGGAAGTCTAAACGATCCAATTCTAGATGCCAGGGTGCGAGTGGGCTGTATTTAAATTGGGACACACCGGTGACGTCAAATTTACCAAGGTTGTAGTCGATACGGCATACTTCAAGGGAAATTCTCCATACAGCGTGAAAGTGGAGGGAGGCTACGTTTCCGCACCGAATTCAATTCCGTCACAGTGGAAAGCTGTCGTGCCTTTTCGAAGAGTACGTTCGATTTAATCTCAATGTTGATTTGAGCATTTCGAAACTCGACCCATACATGCTCATTACGACTCGCGTAATTTTTGCAGATTAGTCCCGATTGCGAGAACGAGTTTTCCGTCGAGAGAGAGTGGGACTACGTGTCTCATGTAAAAGTGACAATTACGCCGGACGGTGGTTTATCGAGGCTACGAATTTTTGGTAAACTGCGCAAAATCTAGTCGAACTCGAGCAGCACTCTTTATTGATTTCAATCTCTACGTCCTCGCTTTCTATCTCGTGTCCTTGTGTCTCCGACAACTGCTTACTTCATATTTACTACACCCAACTCTGTTTATTGTTTGACATAAATATAAGAAACGTTACAGTGATCGAGTTTATCGAGATAAAAACTCAGAAAAGAAGCTACTGATACTCGTCGCACAATGACTTTAAGAATGTCATTTAAAAAGTAATCGAATAATAAAATGGCCAGTAATTTCCTTGGAATGTGGAATTAGAAATGTGAATTCTATTTCATTAACCCTGCAGATTCCACCAAATTTGAAGGACCATATAATGAAGAATCTCAAGATATAACATTATACACGGGGAAAATATTGTAAAAAACTACGTTAAAATTGTATTTCTCTTTCCAACTGTTTTTTGTAAAACTGAGTTATACTAAAATTGCAGTATAAACTTCCAGACAACACAAATCCCAAAAGAGATGTCTAAAAGAAATAGAATGCTTTTTGAACGTCTTTAATGGGATGCCAAAATGGATGACAAACTCCAAAAAGATCGATAAATTAAAGCCTATCGTTACTAACACAAGCGCGTTATTATTTTCGTACTTCTATATAAATCTATAAATGTGTCTATCTATATCTGCTTTATTTTATCACGCTAATAGGAGACATAACGACGCACATATATAAAAATCTTTTTCTTTCTGACGCACATATATAAAAACTTTTCTTATATTTTTAAGCTCCACTGAGTTGCAAAAACACGTTCTTTGAAGTTTTTGTTAGCGAAACAAACACACACCTGCGGCACGTACAAGCTCTGCAGAACTTTCTGTATCAAGCAATAAATATTAACGCAAACAGCTCAATATGTTAATTTAAACATTTTTCTTATAATTCTTGTCACATTGAGTAATGCTCCAATTTATTATTGCACGTATTTGCAGTGTGCAAAAGTATCTATAATTGTGCGCAACCAATACGACGTAAACTTTGCGGAAAAGGTCAGTATTTCAGTGAAGTCAGTGAAGTTTTTAAGTAAGGCATCTTCTTAAAGGAGAAGGAGAAGGAAGGGGAAAACTTGTCGAGGAAAAATGTTGCGATTTAAAAAACTAACTGCGCGGACATAAAGCGTAAAAAGACTACGACATTTCTGCCGTCAAAATACGAATGTTACGCGTGTGGTATGGCGAGTAGCGCAACCTTTAATCATCTGACGTGTCCGAACTGCGTGTGTACACAGCGTGGATAATTTCTCCGTGCAATTACACGCAGAGGCAAAATCAACCGAGACGAGTGAATCGCGCCCCAATCCGCTCCGTCGTTAACTTCGTCGCGATCCTTTTCGCGATTTGCGAAGCTCGTTACGTTCGGCGAACCGCGCAATCCGTTCCGCGCGGAAATTACGAACGCTCAGCGGTATCCGCGCATTTATAGTGTTCACGGTACGTGAACTAAATCGATAACGCGCTCGCGAGACGACGCGAAGTATTCCGCATTTGTCTGTCGCGGAATAACAGATCGTCACGGAATAATAAATCGGTGCAGTCGCGAATAATGTGCGCTCTCCGATCCTCTTTGCTTTCGCTCCAGCAGCGACTTCGGCGCTGCCGTTATTGAGCGCGCCGAGAGTATTCATTGTTATAGAATTCAGTGAGCCACACGTGGCAGGTAAGTGGGTCAAGTTTAACGGCACTCGTACAGCAGCCTCACCGATCCGTCGGATGAAGAGTGGCAAGGACGAGAGCGAAAAATGTTCGTAAACTGAAGGCGGGAATATGCCGGAAATGTCAGGCGCGTTAAAACAAACACGCGTCCGGCAATCACGCGCAATTAATTCGCGCGTGTACTCAATTTATTTGCATAATATACGTGCAATTTGTTATTAATTCTTTGGAATTCTCGTTAACGACAAAACCAACAATCTCAAGCGAGCGAAAAAACCACTTACCATAACGTAACAATTAATAAGCACAAACGGATACTAATTGCGCAGTTTATTTCTTCCTAGGCATAGGAACAGTGAAATGAAGGCACGTGTTCTGCTTCCTCAACACATCGAATCTAATCTTTGATGACAAGAAAATTTGAACAAATCCACAAGCATCCATGAAACGAAACGACGAACTTATCTTTCCCGTTATATAAAAATGAAGATGCAGATGCTTTTCTCTTCAGTTTCTTTAGCTATAGGTTCTCTGTACAACGAACATAAAGCGGAATATATAAAGTTGGCATCCCACTTTTTGAAATTTATAATTTTAAAAGTTGTTCCAGATTGTTCTGACTTTGTGCCACATTGTTCCAAAGTGATATTGCTTCATTCGAAACGGTTTTCGAATAAAACAAAAAAAATGATTTTTTGAGCTGGCACCCCACTTTTCGAAAATCGAACATTCTGATACCGCAATAGATTGTTCTAGTTGTTCCAAACATTGTTCCAAAAGGACAAATCCGTAAGTTGAATTATAAGTCCAAAAAATGAAAAAAATGTTTTTGACCTGGCACCCCATTTTTTGAAAATAAAGCATTCCGATACCGATATAGATTGTTCTAGTTGTTCCAAACATTGTTCCAAAAGCACAAATCAATAAGTTTAATTATAAGCCCGAAAAATTAAAAAAAAGTTTTTTGACAAACAGTCTATCGGACCAAGAGTAAACTTATACTATCTTTCTTGTTCCAACCGAGATCTTTTTGTTCTGAGTTGTTCTAGGCTTAAGAATTATAGTTCTAGAGTATGAGACTCATAAGATCATTCGTTCTCCGAAAATTCGTAAAAAAATCGATTTGACAGTACTCGACGTCAAGAGTAAACACATGCTTCCTTTCTTGTTCCAACCGAGATCTTTTTGTTCTGAGTTGTGCTAGGCTTAAGAATTATAGTTTTAGAGTATGAGACTCGTAGCGTCATCCGTTCTCCGAAAATTCGAAAAAAAATCGATTTGACAGCACCCGACGTCAAGAGAAAACACATGCTTCCTTTCTTGTTCCAACTGAGATCTTTTTGTTCTGAGTTATACTAGGCTTAAACGACGAAGCAATTTCACTTTATTTTGTCATGACATTTTGTAATTATTTCCGCCAATTTTCCTATAATAAAGATTAATTTTTGTAAGAAATCATCTTTTTCTTGAATTTTTGTCACCTCAGAAATATATTTCAATCATCCTTATTTTCAATCATCCAAATAATTATACTTTTTTAAATCAGTATATAGAACTTTTTTTTTTAAGAAAATAGTTTCATCTAAAAAAACCTGAAAATATTTTTGTTAATTTTAATATGTTGTTAAGTTATGAATTTTTTTTACGAAATTACATTTTTTGTCGATTTCGGCAAATTTAAATTGTTATTGCAAAAAATTGTTAATAAATGACTAAAGTAACTATTGGAACATAAAATATAATCTCTCTAGAGTATCCCAGAATTTTTTCAGATTTTTTAGATGAGTTTAACAAAAAAATGTTACAGGACTTAAAGGGGTCACCGTGCAAATGGCGTTAGTAAAAAACATAATGCAAACGGAGGGTTAAAAATATTTTATGTTTCTACATAAATACATATATTTACATTGCCTTTAGCTTGAACGGAAAGTTTTTTTGGCTTACGCAACAAGTCGTCATATTCAACCCAATTGGTACCATTACGTACATACGCAGTGTAATGGCCAACTGACGTTTCGAAATTTTGCTCATGATATACAACACATCCAACGTGAGTATAATTCTATTCATTTAATTTGATACAAAGTGGAATGTCATCCAAAACAGCCATAATCGAATTTTCGATAAATAATTGCGCACCGTATGATATGCTCATAGTACGTTCCCCGTCACATTTGTTACATCGAAGTTTTACAATTCTTGTGAGTTAGCGGCGGAACAAAATTGGCGGAATAAGAACAATAAAAAAAATAAACGTGTTTATTTGGATGCATTTTCGGATGAATTTTCGGAGAACGGATGACGCTACGAGTCTCATACTCTAAAACTATAATTCTTAAGCCTAGCACAACTCAGAACAAAAAGATCTCGGTTGGAACAAGAAAGGAAGCATGTGTTTACTCTTGACGTCGAGTACTGTCAAATCGATTTTTTTACGAATTTTCGGAGAACGAATGATCTTATGAGTCTCATACTCTAGAACTATAATTCTTAAGCCTAGAACAACTCAGAACAAAAAGATCTCGGTTGGAACAAGAAAGATAGTATAAGTTTACTCTTGGTCCGATAGACTGTTTGTCAAAAAACTTTTTTTTAATTTTTCGGGCTTATAATTAAACTTATTGATTTGTGCTTTTGGAACAATGTTTGGAACAACTAGAACAATCTATATCGGTATCGGAATGCTTTATTTTCAAAAAATGGGGTGCCAGGTCAAAAACATTTTTTTCATTTTTTGGACTTATAATTCAACTTACGGATTTGTCCTTTTGGAACAATGTTTGGAACAACTAGAACAATCTATTGCGGTATCAGAATGTTCGATTTTCGAAAAGTGGGGTGCCAGCTCAAAAAATCATTTTTTTTGTTTTATTCGAAAACCGTTTCGAATGAAGCAATATCACTTTGGAACAATGTGGTACAAAGTCAGAACAATCTGGAACAACTTTCAAAATTATAAATTTCAAAAAGTGGGGTGCCAACTTCATACACTCCATAAAGCGGAAAACAGCCGATCACACACAGAAAAATATTATTCTACTGCTATACTATTCTATTACTTACTCTCTTTCTTTTAAAAAGTAACGATTACTTACAACAAAAAATCACTTAAAAATATATAATCTTATCTTAGCGGAAATCTTCTTTTATACAGGGTGTTTCAGACTTCCACGATGATCCTTTGTGAGAACGTAGAATGAATTGAGATGAGCAAGAAAGTCCTGTACTGTTTTGCGATATTCGCAT